TTTAGTGGTGACAAAGAATTGGAAATTGAGGGGATGTCCATCATTAGGGAATAGCTGAACAAATTGTTGTAATTGTGATGGAATACTATTGTACTTTAAAAAAATGATGAGCAGGATGCTCTCAGAAAAACCTGGAAAGACTTACATGAACTGATGCAAAATGAAATGAGCAGAACCAGGATAACTTTGTACACAATAACAGCAATATTATATGATGATTTATTATGAATAATTTAGCTATTCTCAGCAATAAAATGATACAAGACAGTTCTATAGCACTTATGATGAAAGATGCTGTTCATCTCCAGAGAAAGAATTGACAGAGCTTGGATACACATTGAAGATATTTTTTCTTTACTTTCTTTATTTTTCTTGGATTTTTTTTTGTCCATGTTTTCTTTCATAGAATGACTTACAAGGAAATGTGTTGCGCATGACTACACATATATAACCTATGTCAAATTGCTTGCCTTCTCAGTGAGGGGAAAGGGGAGCAGGGAGAGAATTTGGAACACAAAATTTGAAAAAAGAACATTAAAATTGTTTTTACTTGAAATTGGGAAAAATAAAATATTAAGTAAAAAATTACAAGACCACCTAATATCAGAGCTGGAAAGGGACCTTAGAACACAGAACACAGGAAGTCAGAGCTAAGAGGGACCTCTGAGTTCATCCACTGTTCCACAGAATTTTAGAGCCACAAGGGTCCTCAAAAATAATCTATCCCCTTCCCCTTATTTTAGAGGTGAGGAAGCTGGAGTCCAATGAGGTCTTTCCTCTGAACTTGTTAGGAAAACATCCTGAAATTAAATTTATTCTGATTCTTGAATCAGTCTCATCAGCTTCTTCTAGGTTCTATCTATCCAGGAACCTGAGTTTATGGGAAGTGGGGAAAAGGTAGGCAGACTTTAAAATCTTTTTTTTTTTTGGTGGGGAGTGATCTATGTACTTTGAAAATTATATACTCTCAGTCCCTGTGATGTTGGCAGTAACTTAGGCAAATAATAGTTAGGTGGGAAGGTGTATTAGGAACAACAAAAGACTACCATTGAATAGGAGGATTTGTGATTGACTGAAAGTCATCCTGGAATTACAAGTGGGAAGAAGGAACAATCATTCAGAATATTTAGCTATTTCGAGCCCAAATCATAGGGGAATGTGTTTTGGGAAGAAAGATACTTCTTGGTAGAAAGGTCATAGACTGGAGGCATATTCTCAGACATGGCCAAGATATTGTTTTGTTTTACCTAACTATATATATGCTATGAAAGATTGTTTCTATGGGGGAGGGGGTGGTGGTTCATAGAGGGAAGAGAAAGGTGGGTTGATTAGTATTAAGTCATGAGGAGAATGCTACATTTTATTCATTGAAATTAATTTAACCATAAAATGTCACAAACCATATTTAAGTAGTGGCTATGCTAAATCAACATGTGATTACTTGAAAGATTTCTTTCAGCATTGGCTTGCTTAACCAAAGGATCTATGTGTAGGCTCTTTCCTTCTTATACAAATGCCCCCTGCAAAGCAGTTATAGTTTGGAGAAAGTTGCCTGAATGGAGTGAAGGAAGGGAAAGCAACAAGCATTTATTAAGCATCTACCGTGTACCTAAAGTGGCAAGCACTTTACAAATATTACCTAAAGGAGGTGAAGAGGGGCTGGGCCATAGGGCAAGTGTACTCAGACATGGAGGAAAGGTGGATTTGTTGGGGGCAGGGGGGAATCTTTGCACTCACATCATGAAAGGGCAGAATGCTGAGCTTTACTGAGCTTAGCTCAGTCTATCCAGAGAGTAACTTTTGTAGTAGACCCACTAAGAAGGAAGCCAAAAGAAGCAAAAGAAGGCCAGCCATTTGTAGAGAGGGCTAGGATTTCCTCAGTGATTTTTCTCATTTAGATATTACCAACACCCTAGACCATTCTACTTCTGCCTAAGTTGGATTCTAGGGAGGCTATATGTTTCCAAAGTTGTGGTGTGTTGTTGTTCAGTCATTTCAGTTGTGTCTGACTCTTTATGACCCCATTTGGGGTTTTCTTAGCAAATATGCTGGAGTGGTTTGCCGTTTCCTTCTCTGGCTCATTTTACAGCTGAAGAAACTGAGGCAAAGAGAACTAACTGACCTCTCCAGGGTCACAATAGCTAGTAAGTATCTGAGACCAAATCTGAACCCAGGTGTTTGAGACTCCAGGCTGGGTACTCTATTTGCTTTGCCACCTAGCTACCCATATGTTTCCAGAGAGTAAACAGGAAAAGAGAAGCATAGATTTGATGATATTCATAGTTTCACAAAAGAGGCATCATAATTTAATGCTTACAAATACTCTGGCCTTTCCATGAGGATCATATCTTTGAACTGATTCAGACTGCAAAGGTATAAACAGAGTTTTTTTTTTCTATCTAAGATTACATCATCAATTATGTACATATGTATGTATGTATCTATCTATTTATCTAGCTATCCATCCACAGCTGTTCCATATCAGGAATTACCTATAGTCACCTAAGGTTTGACTTTCTTCAGTCACTTAGAAAACTTTCAAGTTGTTTTCTCCTCCAGTTTATCTCCTGTATATTTGCAGGGAACAACCTAATATAAAGTCCAATTTTCCAGCACGTGGATCTGAAGTTTGGAGGTGAAATCAGCCTGCACATATTAAAAGTTACTTTGTAGGTTTACACTTGGGTGGAGAATTCATCTGGGCTATTAATTGGAAAATGTTAAAACTAGAAAGTATCTTAGAAATAATCATTCTGATCTAACTCTTCATTTTGCAAAAGAGAAAACTTGGGGCTCAGAGAGTTTGTGACCTGCCCAAATTCATATAGATAGTTAGTGGTAAAGCTGGGTCCGGAACCCAGACCCCTGACTCTCCATCCTTCTCTCCCTCAAAGCCTCAGAAAGCAGGTTTTGGCTTCTTATGTTTTGGAATTGTGGAGGGTATAAAACATAATTTAAAAATAAAACCTCATATGTAAAAATCAAATCATGGTGGACAAGAACCTAAGGGGCTGGACTATAAAATAATGTGATTTTTTTTTTTGCCTATTCTCTAGTTTGAGAGAGATTGAGAGAGACAAATGACAAGCCAGTATGAGGAATGTGGCGTCCTGAGGTAAGTACAAATTCAGACCAGTCTCATACCTTCTCTATGTCTGCCCCTGCATCTACAGGGAGAATTAATGTTCATAATGATACCTGGAGAACAATATGCATAGTAGAAAGTGGGTGGATAGTAGCTCTCAGGGTTCATGAAGACCTGGGTTCAGCCTCTGAAAACTAGTGGCCATGTGACCAATGGCAGGTAACAATCTCTCACTGCCTTAAGCAACTCTTTTAAAAAAGTACATGAGAGACTAGTTTCAGACCTATATTGGTATCAGGAGGTCCCTACACAAGTGAAATCACAGGTCCAGTCCAAAAAAAATATGAGAGAACCCAAGTACCAGTGAAACTTACAGAGAGATTCACCTCCCTGTTCATTAAGCTTTGCATACTCAGACATAAAGCAGGCAGGATTTTCAACAGCAAGCCCAAAACAAAAAGGGTTTTATGGTGAATCAGCTAAATTAATCCCTGCTAATGCCTTGGTTACCTAAGGGTTTACTCCCTCCCAGTTAACACAATGCTTAAAACGCTCCTCAGGAAAGCTAATTGGTCTGGTTGAAGGCTCCATACATAATATGTTTTTCAGAACCTTCTTAAATCAGACCATGGAAGCAGCTGTCTACTCAGCCTGAATTGAGGACCAGCTCTAATTTTTCCCTGGCAGATAAAAGTAGTCATCATTATCTGGCTTTGGAATGCTACAGGAAAACCTCAATGAAAGTGATGGTGCAGGAGTGAGGAATAGAGTATTCTGGTTAATTATAACTCATTCATAGAACACATTCAAAAGCACTTCTCATTTATGATTGGCCTCAATAATAAGACTCCCAACAACCCTGAGAGATAGGCAAATGGTCCAAAAATGGTTATCCCCATCTAATCAACTAAAGCCTAAGGTTGCAGAGCTAGTCAACAGCACAGTGGGAGTCAGGATCATTAAATCATAGGTTAAGAATTAACCTCTGCCTTTGGGCAACTTGGATACAGTACTAGAGCTGGAGTCAGGAGGATCTGAGTTCAAATCTGACCCCAGACACTTACTAGCTAGCTGTGTGACTCTGGGAAAGTGAATTACCCCTGTTTGCCTCAGTTCCTCAGTAAAATGAGATGGAGAAAGAAACGGCAAATCACTTCAGTATCTTTGCTAAGAAAACCCCAAATGGGGTCACAGAGAGTTGGACATGACTGAAACAACTCAGCAACAACAAAAATCAGAAGTCCTCTAGTCCCCAACCCTCTCATTTGATTCGGAACTGGGATCTAGAAAGATTAGGAGACTTGACCAAAGACACACAAGTAATAAGGAACAGAGTGTGGATTTGAATCCAGCATTCTTTCCACTATACCACACTGTTTCCCTTGAACACAAGTCTTCCAAATCCAACTTCTATGCTCTTTCCACCATACTTTTTCACTATCATCACAGTCACCCTAAAGGGGTTGGACAGGGGGGAAGGGTAAAATTTTGGAGGAAGGAGAGGAAGAGAGGAGGCTGGCTGTGGGGAGGGGGGTAAAGGGAGGGACAGAGTCACTGTCACCAAAGAGACAGAGTTTTACAAGGACACTAGGTAACCCTGATTTCTAGAAAATAGAGATGGGAGGAGGGAGAGCTAAAGGACAGGTAAAGGAATTACTAAAGACAAACAGCTCGCTACATAATTCTGCTTCAGACAGAACAAAAATGGGTGCAAATGAACTTGTCTTCTCTATTTTCATAGATGTGGATATACCATCCTAAGTGACTTGTTCAATTTGAAAGTTATCATTTTCCCCCTCATATAAAAGGAACATGATAGGCATCCATTTATTTATTCATTCATTTTTTAGGTTGAGAATGAATGGAGCCAACATCTTTTCTTTTCCTAAAAGGGTTTGAAAGGTAAAGCACTCACCAGTTCCTTCCTTAGCCAATGCAAAGCCTCATCAATGCTCTCAAAGCTATCCAATTTTCTAGGAGTCAGAGGTGGCGGGTCCTGGCTGTTACTTTCATGTAGCTGCTGTTGTAACTTTCTCAGGGGAGGCAATTCCTCTTCTCTGGATTTCCTTGGTTCTTTCCCCTCCTGCTCATCAGTAGACCTGGGGAAATTCCATGTCTGCTCCTCGAGCTTGGCCTGCCATTCCAGGTAGGAAGGCCTCCGAGTCTGCAGCCTCAGTTTCTCTGTGAGGACTTTCAGGCTCAGAAGGTGGTCATCAGGAGGAGGGGTTGCCCCTAAGTACCCTCCTTCTCCACCTGCCACTTCTTCTATGTGGATCTGAGGTGTAGCCATCCTACAACCTCCTGGTTCCCCAAAGCATCGAGGGTTGCTGGCAGCACAGTGCAGTTCCTCTCCTCCTCTTCTCCCTCCTCTTTAGCCCCAGGCTCTTGAGGTCATTGCCTGGGTGATGGTATGGAGGATCCACAGGACCGTGTTGCTGCTGGCCCCTGGAACCAACAAAGAAAAGCACAATGACACAACACAATGCAACTCCCCTTCAGAAATGTGGCTGGGTTGGTCTCAGGTTTAATATCATTCTTGGAGTCTTGATGGTTCCATACTATGCAAAGGGGCAGGAACAGACAAGAGTAAGCAGGAGTCTCTGGAGGAAATCTTTGCCAAGAAGACCCAGAAAGGGTAAGCAGAGTACCAGGCAGTGTTGAAAAGCAAGCCCTCTCTATCTCTGTAGGCAGAAGCTGGGCATGTGCTGAAGAATAAGCAGGAGGCTCCCTAGTGCCAGGCAGGAAGCTCTGCTAAGGTGCCTAGTGCCTGGGGCACAGGAGTGAGTATGCAGGTTAAGCAGTGGCTCCAGTGCTAACGCAGGAGCTCAAGAGTTTAACAGAAAGGTTCCTGGGATGCTGGTACAAAGGTAACAATTCAAGATTTATGCTATTCTAAGAGGTACCTCGTAGTAATCAAATCAACCCACCTATTCCTAGAAAGGACATGTGAATTAATTACTTTATGACTCCACTCATCATGTCTATGACACGAGGGACCAAAACATCCCTCCCTGGACACCACTCTCCTATATGTGTTGTCTTCTTCTGTTAGAATGTAAGCTCCTTGAAAGCAAGAACTGTCTTGATTCTTATATTGGTATCCTAGCACTTAGGGCAGCAACTGGCACCTAGGAAGCACTGAATAAGAGCTTTTTAAAAATTCGTTCATTTATTCATTCATCCATCCACTCACCCATTCACTTGTCCATGGATATGCCCTATCCCATATTACTCTCAGCCAAACTAACTTTATTCATCAGTGGTTTTTAATGTGGGGTTCATGGACCAGATTTCAAGGAGGGGGATCCTGCAAATTTGAATGGGAAAAATATAGCTGTATTTTCACTAACTTTGAATTGAAATTTAGCATTTCCTTCAGTTATGAACGTAAGCAACAAACATTATTCTGAGAAGGGGTTCCCATGGACTTCACCAAACTGCCAAAGGGGTCCATGACATAAAAAAGGTTAAGAACTCCAGCCCTGCACCCAAATATGACCTCTCTTAGCACCCCTGTGCCTTGGCTCACACTTTCCCCCATGGCTGCAATGTCCTTCCCCATCTTTCTCTGCTGAATCTCTATCCATCCTTTACACTTTCAGCTAAAATGCCTCCTTTTCTAGGAAGCTTTCCTGTATCATCCTGAGGGCCATGGGTCCCCCTCCAACCTCAGATCAAGCTTTGTTTTGCACCTTTGTAGTGCATTTGTCATTTAACATTGTGTATTACAGTTCTCTGTGCTGATGTCTCATCTGCCTGCCAGACTGAGTCCCAGGAAGCAGGGAGTATGTCTTTTTGAAGTTTTGTACCTCACCCCCCTGCAGCAACTCAGTGCTCTGCACAGGTGGGTGCTAAATACATGTTTGTTGGACTATGGTATTGTCTGCTTCATAAGGTTATTGTTGATGCTAGGCATTTTTCACTTCCCACCTCCTACCAATTATCTGTGGCAAGTAGGTGTGAGCTTCCGTAAAACAATCTGCCTCTGGGGGAGAAACATAAGCAAACCATAAGATGGGGAGCACACTTATAAGTTTAATTTGCATTATTGACAAGTTTTCTGTCACTTTCTTACGTCTAGACAATCAAGGAAACACTAAATCAAACCCTGGTTTGCAGCATTTGCTGATTTCTGAGGTGTAATGTTCACACTGAACATTTAACAATCAGCTCCAAGCCAGTTGGAGCTGGCTCCAGCACATGCCTGGAGGCATCACCTTGTTCTGGCCTGTCTTCTGCTAAGGAAAAGGAGGAGGTGTTTTCAGCCATAGGGAGAAAGAGTTGAATGTACTCAGGAGTTTACTGCTACCCAGAATAATTGTGACTCACCTATTCAGGAGGCAATTTCTGTGTTTACCTTTGCAGAACCTTTCTGCAGGGCACTTTGTTTGGGTGATCTCATTTGTCCTCTTTAGGTCTTGGCCAGGGTGCCAGGAAGGATAGATTTGATTCCTATTTTGTAGCATGGGAGGCCAGTACACAAAACAGGAATGTGAGCCTGTCTCTGGTCCATAATTAAACCAAGTAGAGGGCCTAGGCGTTCAGAATCTCATCCCCCTATTTTGTCTTTGAGCAAGAAGAAATGGGATGAAATTAAAACAGGAGATAATAGAGTGGATCATGAGGAGAGCTTTGTCATAGTAACAGGAACATTGGGCTATGGATGTCCTTTGTCTGTAGGCTCTCATGACAAGACCAAACAACCCTTTTTCCTGATAGCTAATACAATCACCTACCTGAAGACAGAACCTCAAGACTTTCTTAACATTCCTTCCCCCTCTCTGCACCCTACCTCTTGCTCTGAGTTCTCCCCAGTAGATCTGGGATTTTTTTTTGTTTCTGTCCAATTTAAAAGGAGTACATTCTGCCATCTGGACAAATTCAGGGTATCTGAGGGATGTAGTAAAGAGAACATTGGACTTTGAAATCAGAACACCTGGGCTCAAAGTCCTGTCTCTGCCATATAAATACCAGCGTGTTTGAACAATTCACTTTAACCTCTTTGGGTCTCAGTTTGCTTAACCTGTAAAATCGGGATAATAATATAATATTACTCTACAAGGTTGTTAAGCAGAAAGCCCTTTGGAAACCACAAAGTGTTACATAAATATGAGGTCTTTTTAGAGATATAACTAGCATTTCTCTCACCTGGACAAGTAGTACAAATAGATTTAACACAGATGCCTTTGGAGACAAGGAGACCTCAACCTTCGGACACAGAACCCTTTGGAAATGGGAGCATTCAGGACCCCAGCACACAATAAGACAAATATTAGGCAGCAATGGGGAGGGAGGGCAGCTTAAGAAGAGTCAGCCCAAGGTATGACTTTAGCGGGGCAGGCAAGGATGGTAGCTTGCTATTTTAACTAACTACTTCTTCCTAATCAAGTGCCAATGATGGGGTATGGGCCCAAGACATTCCCCCCCAAAAACCCCTTCTTTGAACCTTATTTGAACTTTTACCTGGTTGGGGAAGTCTAGAAGTCCCCTGAGGTTACTCTCATTCCTGTTAATTGGCTCTTCCTTGGCACCTGCGCCCCACCTCCCAATTCTTTGTTACCCTAGTTAAGCCTACCTCTTCATTGTCTATTGCTGGCCTGGTGACCCTGTATTATACTTCCCATCCTTGATCTTGTCCGACCCATTTGGCCTCCCAGACACTCCCATCGAGATTCTCCCAGGACCCACCCCCAGTCACCCCAGCTTCAAGATCCTCCCCAAACTCCTCCTCCAGTACGGGTCGCTACCATCAGGATACCCCTTCTCCAAGCCCCCCACCCCCAGTCACTCTGGGCTGCTTGGCTGCTCCTGGATCCCTCCCATGGTCTTTCTGTATGTAAGATCCATCCTGGGCGCCATTTAGGGGCTGAGACTTCCTCATGCCTGCTCATCCTTACAGGTGTCACAAATGTTCAGACTCCTTAAGAGTCTGGCCTATATGGCTCATCTTTAATAAACTTGGTCTTTGGCTGAAAGAAGGCTTGGGTCGAATTTTTTCGGGCAGGACCCATGTGCCATGATTTTGGGGTCCCAGCACCCCTAGCATCTAGACCTCAACACCAAGTTCAACTGTTCCTAACTGCTGAGACTCTACAAGTACCTCTAAATTTCTGCACTTTGGTACAAAACTCCAGCTGCTTTTACCACTACCATAGCAGTGGCTCAGGACATTTTGCCTTCTTTTTTTTTTTTGGTTAGGCAATGGGGTTAAGTGACTTACCTGGGGTCACACAGCGAGTAAGTGTTATGTGTCTGAGGCCGGATGTGAACTCAGATCCTCCTGACTCCAAGGACAGAGCTCTATCCACTGCACCACCTAGCTGCCCCCAAGGCTAAGGACATTTTAAAACCAGAATACTCCTCAATCCAAAAGAAAAGAAGACCTTCTTCTAGAGCATCTCCCAATCATTCCCTGCCTTTGCCCAAATCTTTCCTTGAAGCCTTACAGGATGTAGTGGGTGGAGTTACTCACTGTGTGTGTTAGCTACTCAACTCCCACGGGGGCTCCATAACACTGAAGTCATAACTGTAATTATTTCTTTTTTTTAACTGTAATTATTTCTACCAAATCCCTTTGAAGATGTGATTTAAATTTTTTTTAAATGTAGGATAGGCTTTGTTCCCCTTTTGTGAAGAGATAAAGAAGAATGGAAGTTGAGATGCAGTCAAGTGCACTTTACACATCCCCACAGAGAGTGAGTGGGAAGCAAAGAAGTATGTTGTTGGAATCTCCACAGATCTCATAGTCTGAGTGGCTTCCCCACAGTGCTCCTCGGGAGTGGGTTGTTACTGTCCCTCTGTGTCTGGGAGAAGCCAAGAGAGGGAGAGAGCTGTCCATTCATTATTGGCTTCTAACTGTGACACTCAGTTGGCAGGGTGCCTGTCTTTCTGAATTCAAATTCTGTAAGGCATTGAGAGGTGCAGACATAGTAGCTCAGGAACAGACTGAGCCACTCTGGGGCTCTGAGTGTCAATCCTGGTTACTGATCCATTTGTTATTAATATCTATACCCTGGGGCTCCTTCAGATCTTTCCTAGGAAACCCTAGGCAGATTGGGTGACAGATCTACAAACTTCTAAGTCAAGCAATTTTATTTATATGGTAATATCTCTGAGCCTCAGTTTCCTCTTAGGTTTATGAGAATCATATGAGAAAGTGCCTTTGAAAATCTGTGGATGGCTTTGAAGATATGATACATTTTTTAATAATATCCATTTTTATCCGTAGATAATAGTATCAATGAGAGGCAGTGTTGAGAAAGCCAGCCTCAGAATCAGGAAGACCCGAGTTCAAGTATTGCCTATGAACACATACTTGCTATTTGACCTTGGACAATAACAAGCATTTATATAGTGCTCTCAGGTTTGCAAAACTCTTTACAAATATTATTTCATTTGATCTTCACAACGACCTTGGGAGGTAGATGCTATTATTAATTATCCCC